CTGTGGAACCAACTACCAGTTTTAGTCCATGAGGCAGACACCCTGTCTACTTTTAAGGCTAGGCTTAAAACTTTCCTTTTTGATAAAGCTTATAAATTAAACCTGAGTGATGTCTGCTTCGTCTCTGGGTGAGTAGGAAGACTGAACAGCCTGATCCAGTGGAGGAAAATTCAGCACAGACAGACATTTTTCCTCCGCTCTACTTTTCTCATACCTCATTTAAAGTAGTTAGCTTATCCTGAGTTATATATATTTATGCTGCTATATGATTGGACCACTTTTCATCATTCGGCTTCATTCTATCTGCATTCTCCTAATCTGCAGTATTTGTTCAGTTCCACGCCTAACTTTATGCTGTCTGTGCTTTTTGCATCATAGTAGCATCATCTGGTCTGTTCTCTGTCTTTATCAGCTGGGCTGCTGCCATCAACACCTTCGCTTATATTTGCTGTATTTGTTTATTTGCTTGGTCTCCTGTTTCTATAACTATGACTCACTATATCTTAATCAGAATCAAGTTTCTTTCCAAGTAGGTTTGCACTTACAAGGAATTTGACCTGGTGTTGGTGATGCAGACAACTGACAAATATACAGAATACAGAATCTATAGCTATATGCAATATAAACCATACAATATTCTATATACAATATATAGCATATAGCCATAGACAATATACACAGAGACAGTGCGTTAATGTAACGCAGGAGGTCTGGAGATGCTACGTTGGTGTAGCTTCTAGAACCTGGAGAGAGGCAGTGTCAGTGTGACGGGGTCTCTGGGCCTTGTTGATAAGGCTGGTAGCAGACGGGAAGAAACTGTTGTTGTGGCGTGAGGTTTTGGTCCTGATGGACCGCAGCCTCCTGCCAGAGGGAAGACACTGAAATAGTTTGTGACTGGGGTGCGAGGGATCAGCCATACTCTTCCCTGCACGCCTCAGGGTCCTGGAGGCGTACACATCCTGGAGAGACGGAAGATTGCAGCCCATCACCTTCTATGCAGAAAGGATCACATGCTGCACTCTGACCTTTTCCTTGGCTTCGACGTAGCAGATGGTGATGGAGGAGGTGAGGATGAACTCAGTGATGGAGGAGTCAAAGTGCACCATCATTGTCCTTGGAAGGTGGAATTTTTTCAGCTGCCACAGGAAGTACGTCCTCAGCTGGACTTTCTTGTTGAGCGAGTTGATGTTCAGCTCCCACTTTAGGTCCTGTGAGATGATAGTTCCCAGGAAGCGGAAAGACTCCCTTCATCAATTTTCTGACACACTAAACCCGAAGTGGGATGGTAAGGGGTGTTTGTGCCTATCTCCAGCTGTATACGGGCGAGAGGCGGGGTCCACTCTGGACAGGTCGCCAGTCCATCGCAGGAGGAAAGAATCCTCAGTGGCAACAGTGGAGTCACAGAGGGTGATGGAGATAGCTGGGGTTGAGTTCTTCCTGAAGTCCACAACCATCTCCACTGTTTTTAGAACGTTTAGCTCCAGGTGGTTCTCTCTGCACCAGATGGTCAGCCTCCCACCTGCAGGTGGACTCGTCACCATCAGAGGTAAGTCCGATGGGAGTGATGTCATCCATGAACTTCAGCAGCCTGACAGACTGATGACTGGAGGAGCTGCTGTTGGTGTACAGGGAGAAGAGCAGAGGAGAAAGAACACAGGCCTGGGGGGAACCAGTGCTGATGAGCTGTGAGGTAGAGACATGTTTTCCCAGCTTCACCTGCTGCTTCCTGTCAGGCAGGAAGTCTGTGATCCACCTGCAGGTGGAGTCAGGCACACTCAGCTGGGAGAGCTTCTCCTGGGATGATCGAACTGAAGGCAAAGCTAAAATAAACAAATGGAATGCTGGCATAGCTACCTGTGGAATCCAGGTGCTGGAGGATCCAGTGAAGGGCCAAGGTGACAGCGACATCTGCAGACCTGTTGGTTCTCTTAATCCTCTGACTCAGATCCTCAGATCTGCCCTAAATGTTGAGGAGAACCTGAGGTTCTGTAGATCCGGGTCAGTTCTGATCCAGATATCATTAAAACCAAACTGTAACATATCGCTTTACCACACAGGAGGACTCCATTCATTTAACCTTTGACCCCTCACAGTTATTCTCACCGTTTCTCTCATCTTTTCTGGATCTGCTGCTGCTTTTCTTTAGAACATTAACTCTTAAGTATTCAATCTTTAATTATCTTTCCTTCTCTAACGCGTTTTCCTATTTTCTCTGACGTCATTGTTCAACCATTATCCTAAATATCAACCTGTTAGGTTCCAACTTTAACTGACACAGCTGAATCTCCCTCCTGATCCTGGTGTGAATATAACATGAGATATTTCTATTCTACAAATATATGTTGGAGATCAGCTTGTTTTCCAGTGTAGTCCTGTTTCTCTGACTGTGACTAACTGGATGTGCTCTCTTCATCCTCTTGTTGAACTGTCTCTGTAAAGCGCCTTTACTGCTCTACCCAGTGGGCCGTCACTCTTTCAGCTTCATAGTGAACTAAAGCAGCATAAACTGCAGAAATGTTCAAAGGTTCTATGTTTGGAGTGAACGCACCTCATCGGTGATGTAAAAATGAAACTGCCTGATATGGACAGGATCCACAATTATTTGCTACAGCAGGGGTCAGCAACCTTTGGCTCACTTTAGAGATTAGATGATTCACTTTTGACTTTTTTTATTGTGTTTATTCTATTTTATTTTTTGTTCCTTTTTTGTGT